GTGTGTGTGTGTGTGTGTGTTGTGTGTGTGTGTGTGTGTGTGTGTGTGTGTGTGTGTGTGTGTGTTTTGTTTTGTTTTTATTGCATGTGTGTATGTATATATATATATATATTGTGACATTGTGTTATTGTGACATCCCCATAGTAGGAGCATTTGGCCCGTTTGCTAGTACGAGCATATTTCCAAACTGTACCCTAATAGGAGTGAGTTTCCTTCTCTTTAGGACTCAGTACAATCGCGGCCCCCTACTTCTTTCCCAAACAACGCTGTTATCTGCAGATTGATTTTCTATTGGTAATCTGGTGATGTGTGTCCATGTGAGTGCTACGCAGTTTGCATTTGTGTCCTGCACGTTGTATTTAATTGTCTTTTTGAGTAAAGTGTTTCTCTTATTCCAAAAGGGTTTACCTTAAACTCTGGTCTGTCTCATCTACAACCGGGCCTTGTATGCTAATTAACTATTTCTTCGAGATTCGAGCAAGTATACAGTGACATATTTCGATTCAACAGCGAGCAGTTTTCTCTTCTCAATCCGAATACAATGTCGTTCCTTAACCAATCCACGCTTCTGTTGGTGAAGCCAACACGTTGGACGGACTCTATCTCAGTTACCAGTTGTGTGCTTTGCAACTTTGAATGTGACCATCCAATGGAATCACAACATTATGACTCCAATCTTATTGCACTTCCTAAACACAGAATAATGTTCGTGAGCAGCACGTCTGGGAGCGCGGGAAAACCACGGATCGCTTGTGCATGGCCTGGCTGCAGTGTAACGACAGTATCGCCCAGTGCTATGGCAATACATGTGCGCACTCACACAGGGGAACGTCCATATGCCTGTACGCACGCCGGTTGTAGCAGCGCTTTTAAAAACTCTTACGAGCTCACAAGACATATGCGCACTCACACAGGGGAACGTCCGTATGTCTGTATCCATCCTGGGTGCGCAAGTACTTTCAAGCACACCAGCCAAGTTACTGTTCACATGCGCATTCACACAAAAGATCATCCATATGCATGTAACCACCCTGGTTGTAGCAGCGCTTTTAAAACCTCAAGCGCCCTCACAGTGCATATGCGCACTCACACAGGGGAACGTCCGTATGCCTGCACCCACTCTGGTTGTAACAGCGCTTTTAAAAGCTCTGGTGAACTCACAAGGCATATGCGCACTCACACAGGGGAACGTCCGTATGCCTGTGGCCACCCTGGATGCACAAGTGCTTTCAACCAATCTAGCCAACTAAGTGCCCACAAGTATACTCACACAGAAGAACGTCCATATGCTTGTAACCACCCTGGTTGTAGCAGCGCTTATAAACGCTCTTATCAACTCACAGTGCATATACGCAGTCACACAGAGGAACGTCCGTATGCCTGTACCCACTCTGGTTGTAACAGCGCTTTTAAAAGCTCTGTTGAACTCACAAGGCATATGCGCACCCACACAGGGAAACGTCCCTATGCCTGTAACCACCCTGGATGCGCAAGTACCTTCACACAATCCAGCTCGCTCAATAGCCACATGCGCACTCACACAACGTCCGTATGCCTGTAATCACCTTGGTTGTAGCAGCGCTCTTAAAAGCTCTGGTGAACTGATATCGCATATGCGCATTCACACAGGCGAACTTTCGTATGCCTGTAAACACCATGGTTGTAGCAGCGCTTTTAAAAGCTGAACTGACAGTGCATATGCGATCTCACACAGGCGAACGTCGGTATGCCTGGATTGAGGGTGGTTTGAAATACGCACGATTCTTTTCATAGAAAGGTAATTTGGAATTACTCGAGCTTTGAAGAGAATTACAATGTATGCGACGCGAGTATGATAAGCTTGCACGAATGAATAAGACGCAGATGGCTATGACCGATATCTACCCACCGAAGCCTCGGGAAGATGAAAATAAAGATGAATCAAATGAATCTCTACACGTACTGTACTTCAACATAGACACGACATATCACTATACTCCTTGCAAAATATAGTCTTTTAGGCCTGAAACTCACAGGGCAGTAAAGGTACTTACCATACAGTAAAATCAGCCGAACCCCTCTCGGCCAATCAGATAGCCACTAGAAGTGTTCACTCGATAGATGTTCCTTTTATTCCTGCAACGGCCAGGGACAAGTTGCGAGGACCCACTGAGCCGTATGGGCTTTTTTGTTTTGTTTTTGCACGGTCATCTGGAACGGGACAGGGGTATATACGGGTGCTACAACTTTATGGTACTAATTTGAACTACTGGTATGATTAGTACCTTAAAATGTTTATGGTGCTAACACTACCAACAGAAATTACGTTTCCTGATTACGTAGCCAGACCATAAAGATCTATTTGCCATGAAGTCCCAAAAGACTCCGTCGAAACCTCATTACACTTTGTATGTTTTTGAATTTTCGGCGTTTTGTACTCTAGAGAGAAACTCCGAAGGTCTGTACTGTGATATACCCGTAAATACTTCGTAGTGTTATTTTACACTGAAGAGGCAGAGACACACATAGCGCAACACACACATGCATAGCGGACAATAATCTCTCTGTCTTCCGCTACAATAATCAGAAAGCTACTATCTGCCGATTGGAACAATGGCCGGGTACATCAACATCGAATTGATTAAATGATCAGATGGGTATTTTCTTTGGGGTCATTTGTGCATCTACGTGTGTCCTATTAATGTCGGCTCTCGTGTGTGCATTTGTTCATTTTGTAATCATATATTTATGTACTGGAACTGGATGCAATGCCGGATAGGGACTATCATAGATGATCGCCAAACTGACAATGTAGGTGCTCTAAATCAGTGTTTGAGTACTCTCAAGAGTGTTTCCCTATTGTGAGTGTATTTAGGATACTTCTCGAATAGATATAGTTTGTTTCCAAACACTATATATATTTATATATTCATATATATATACGTAATCGACATCATTGCCTACACATACTTGTGAATATATAAATGAATATATATATATATATATATATATATATACATATAATTTATATAGTATGTGTGTTCTATATATATATTAGTT